ATTGGTAGATCTTACACAAATTATATTCAGTACTAAACTAGAAATGATTTACCATGAAATGTGTCATACTCCATATTACCTAACACATGAAAACCCATGTGCAAGCTGAACAAACTTTACAAAACAGGCCTGGCCCTGTAAAAAAGCAAATTAGTTTTGCTACATCTGCAATAAGCATTGTGAGTCACTTGCAGACTTCAAGAACCATTGTTGAGAACTGAAAACATTGATCAAACTTGTCAATGATGGTCATACTCATTTAACAAGTCAAAATACACAGACACACACATACATCAATAAGTATGTAATCTAATGTTGAAAAGGGGCATTTATTTTACAAATATTTATTAAGTGTATAACAAATACTTTCATGTTTTAAATACTTTCATACCAAAACTTATTTCATGTACACATTTTAAGGCTATCTATGACACCACTATATGTTTCATTAAAACAACTGACAAGGTGGTTAAGTTTTTTATTTAATTTTTATTTGTTCTTATAATTTTCTTTTTTTCTGGATGTAAATTTTATAGAAATTGTCCAAATGCTTTGTATGTCCGAGCACTTTCGGTTATACTTTTAGCCATTATCATGGATGGTTTAATTTTTACTTTTAACTGAATGAATGGATTGGTTTATGTATGTATCTAGAGTTATAGGAACAATTCCTAAATGATATCATTACTCCATATCTATCTATGAATTATAGCATAAAATCAACTCATGAATTTCTTCAAATCTTTAAAACTACACAACCAAACCATGTATTCTAGTGACACTTGATGAAGAAAATTTATTTACAAACGTCCCTGTCAATGAAACCATTGATATAATTTTTAACTCTGTATATAAAAATAATTCAATTTCACCTTGATCTATCAAAATTAATATTCTCAAAAAACTATTGCATTCCTGTACAACTATAGCTCCCGTCTATGACCATAATGGCAAAATTAACAGTCAAATTAATGGTGTAAGTATGGGAAATCCACTCAGTCCATACCTCTCTAACTATTACATGTCCCACATAGAAAAGCAGGTATTTAAAAAGTTACTGAATTGAAAATATATGTCCACTATATAGCGGACATATATTTTCAGTTTAGAAACTTTTTTATTTTAGCTGAAAATAACAATGAAATTGATAATCTCAAAACTACATTTGAAAAAAATTCCGTCCTCAACTTTACCTATGAACGTAGCCAAAAAAATAAACTCCCATTCTCAGATGTTCTTAACAATACATTCACTACTTCATTATATAAAAAAACCCACAAGTAAAAACTCTTGCCACAATAATTTTCCTCTCAGATATAAAATAGGCATTATAAAAAATTTCATTATGAGAATGCATGAGAATTGATCCTCTCATCTGCTTTTCTTTAGAGAACTTAACATGAAACAAACACTAGTTAATAATGGTTTTCCAAATGAATCTTCCCTTAGAAACTTCATAAAGAAATATACCACTCCAGTCAACAAAAACAAGAAAATTAAATTATCTACTATAAAAAATTTAAAACTACTAACATCATTGTCAACAATAATAACTCACCTGCAAGATCCAAATTACTTAGAACCAATATTATTTACAAATTCACATGTCTCTGATCAATCCAAATTCATAAATAATTATATTGGATATACTACAATGCCTAACAAGAAGACTCATGTTACATCCCTCTGACCATAGCTCAATTAGGTCTCATTTAAAAACACATGGAGACTTACCAAACACTACCCACAACATACTAGTTGATAATACAAATATAATAGCCTCATCCACATATAATATAACCCTGTCACCATGCACTTCACTGAATGCCACTCTTACTCTGGTCTGTGTCTGTTGGTCTATTTCTGGAGAGATTATGCACACAAAACATCTTTCACAAATAGTAAATATGTGATCAGCACAATGCTTTCTAAGTATATCTGGGAAATTAAAAACAAAACACACATCACACTAAAAATATCTTGGAAAATAAGGAAAAGATCATCAGCCTACAACAACCAATCCAAAACTTGCAAACTTTCACTTGGAGGAAAAAATAGCTATCATTAGCTTCCCAGACCAAAATAAATTAAATAAACGATCCGAGCTCATCTCAAAATGCAGACATCAAAACAAATTTTTACTATGTTACTTAAAAATCAAAAACTGAAAAAAATAAAATAAAATAAATAAATAAACAAAATGACAATAAAATAAGCAAAATAAATTAACCCAAACAAATTACCAAATCACACTCGTTAGAATAGACAAAATAGAATAAATAAATAAAAAAATAAAAAACAAAATCAATGAACCCAAATAAATAAAGTAAATAATAAACAAATTAACAAACCATTATGACCAAAATATTAGTTAGCGTATAAAAATCAGACCAAAAATTGGACGAAAGACATAGCTATAACTGTTATATAACGATAAAAACAATACTACGTTACTTAAAAATCGAAAACCGAAAAGAGTAAATAAAAATATACGGTATAATAAATAAATAATAAAAAACAATTAAAATAAATTAATCTAAATTAATCCAAATAAATGAACAAACTAACAAACCAATCCCGATAAATTAACCGTTAGAAAAAAACAAATAAAGATAATCAATCCAAATAAATTCATGAAGTAATAAACAAATTAAAAACTGTTCCTGCCAAAATAATAGTTAGAATAAACTACAACAATCAATCCCAAAATTGAATAAATAGCTTTAATTATCTTCCCAAACCAAACCAAAACTATTAAATGAGTGATATAAACAAATTTTACTACGTTAATAAAACACCAATTAAAATAGAAAAATATATAAGATAAGAAATAAAAATAAAAAATAATAAAAAATAAAAATAAAAATAAAAAAATAAAGATAAAAATAAATAAAGACAAGCAAAATAATTTAACCCAAATAAATAAATAAACAAATAAACAACGAACGACTGCCAAATAAACGACAAACGGCTGCAAAATAACTGCCAAATAGACTACCCACAATGCACCACTGACCCGTATATATAAATAGCTGAGAAAAAATAAACAGCACTCGTGGCCTGACGAAACAGACCGTCACCTCTAAGTGTTGACTTCAATGTTCACTTTTATATTTACACATGCTCTATCTCTGATACTGAGCACTTTGTCCCATAAATATAGCACACCTTAAGACTATATTTCTTCATATATATATATATATATATATATATATATATATATATATATCATCATGAATAATATTTAGTTGTACCTTTTCTTCAGATGTTATAATGGCTGACACAAAAATTGGGAATTTGGCAATTTTGGAACATTATTTTAAAAACTGTTGAAACTGCATGCAGCTTTTGTCAAGTGGAAGCAAATTAAACAAAATCTGACTGCACAGTTTAAAACTGGTCCCAGCATATTAAGGGTTGTGAATTGTCAGTTGAAATAATGTCAATAAGTAGATGACCATCAGTTATGAATTATGATTTTTGAAAATGCAAGGGAATAACTTTCAGAAGAGCTAGGATCATCGACAGTTATGTAGAACATTACAAGGGGTTGTTGAAAAAGTTTTCAGCCTAACAAAGAAGCCCTTTGAAAAACATATCCTGATATTTTGTCAGATTATGGTAAGTAGGTTGGGCTGAGAACTTTTCAGCACACACTCATATATAACCTTAAATGATACTAGAAATTTCAAGAGGCTATGAATAATTAATATTTAAAATATTTTTATGTAATATTTCTCAGTATTCAAAGGATTGCTGAAATTTCTCAATCCCATCCATTTCTCAAAATCCGAGTAAATGACTGAATGTCAAAAATATTTAAATCCCTTTTTGGTCAGGTCAAGAACTTTTTAGCAATCACTTTTATATGTTCATACAACTACTGATGCAAAAATTGGAGCAATGCATTCAACAAAGCCTTTATCAAATGATGATCCTGGGGTCAGACATAATTTGGGAGCTAAAGTATCATTAGGATTAACTCAAGGCATCCCAGTAGTACATCACATTACCACCAAGTTTTGTTGATTTTACATTACAGTGTAAAAGTGCTGGATGCAAATGCAGCCAGTTTCTGATACATGGTTTCAGGCCAAAAATATCATTACCATTGACCCAGGGTGCCCTATAAATACCCAATGATATAATTGTCAGGTAGGATTACAACTAAAAGGAGAGGATTGTAATGTATTATTATTAAAAGCTAAACCCTAATAAATGCAGTTATTGCCTTTTATCTATACCCACAATTCCTTTTTAATCACTGTACTCCATGTTATAAATAAAGTCTGTGTTTTTACCTAAGTTCCCATCTTATACTCAATCTATTACATTTATTACAGTGAAAGTAGTTTAATATTGGAGCTATTATGCTATTTTTATTATTTGTTGCAACCTAGAATGAGGAATAATCAAAATAGAGGTTGGAAATGAAATGGTAATCTTTATAACATCAACAAAATAAAATACTCGCCAGCAGTGTGAAGTAGGTAAACCACTGATAGTGGTGGACTACTTAGACAGTATATTACTCCCACTTACAATAGTGTCCAACATATTTATAAGGATTGGAACATACCCATTAGTGTTCATAGGTATGGTATATAACAATATTATAATTACTGGTATCAATAAATGCTTCAAACCTATTATTTAAGTTATGATCACTTAAGAGAAAGACAATTATCAAGAAAAGTTTAATGAAAAAAATTAAAATTTGAAAGCGTTTGGGGTTCCAGTTAATATCATGTAATACATATGAAAATGATTGAGTTTATCTTACATTTTATGTTTTATTAATGAACTTACGTATTTGAATTAGTTCTCACTTTTTGTAATTATTTTATAAATTTATGTTAATTTATGATTTAAATATTTATAATAATAATTATAGAGTGATGTAATCATGTTATGTATCTACAAAAAAATAAAAATAAATGAATAAGCATTTATAAAACATAAACGCTTAAATAAAGGATTCCTCACATATAAATTATTACCTGTTAGATATCACTAGCACAGTGGCTTTGTCAGGGCGATAAAAGCATACCACATCCAAATTTTGGGGTACATTGTTGACATTCACTCGAACAGAATCAGGTAAAATAAATTTGCTAAAAAATGTAATAGGATTTCACATAAAAATAACAATAAATTAAGCAAATATTTCGACATAATTACATGAAATAAAACTAATTTACCACTCAGACTAAATTTATCCAAAAGACAAAATTCAATCAAAATCTTTGATAAATGGAATTTAAATGCCTTCAAATATCTTCAACATATTTGTGTAATATATATTTTTTAAAGGTGTGATATATAATATTTTTAAAGGTGCATTATAAATATTTATGTAATCATCATTTTGTCAATTCTGCATCAGTTGACCCAACAAGATTTTTTTTTTGCAAAAAGTAAACCAATTTTATTTTTCCAAAGAAATTACCTCTTGAAACAGAGAGTATGGGATATTTACATTAAAGAAAAAATTAGTTTATTTTGGATTGCATTCTTTATCAAGAATTTTCAGTTGCATTAGCCCTGTTACTGATTTCAGACAAGGTCATTTTTTGTTGCTACAGTACAACTTTGAAATTCAAACAGTGTCACCTGTAGTAACAAGACAAACTTTTGCTTGTCAAACAAAATCATCTACAGAATGCCAATGGTTAAAACCTATAATATTTTTACCCATGGCAGAAAGGATAGTTATATTGGAATATGGTTAAATTATTTAAAAAATCAAATACATGTAACAAATAATGTTAAATTATTTTAAAGTTATAATTACCAAACATAAATTTTCAACGAGTTAAAAAAAATTCCTATTAATAAACATAATTTAAATAAAGCCTAAATAATAAGGGAATATTACTTTCATTCAAAAAGATATTTCTCTTTTTTTGTAAAAAGCATTGAAATTATAATATTAAAGAATAATGTAATGAAACAAAGTTTTAATATTACACATATTTTTAAATGTATTAATTTGTTAATGGAAAACACATCCAACAAAACTCATGTTTGCATAAACATAAGGTAAAATAATGCCACAAATTCTCATTGAACATGACTGCTTAAATAAACAAGTATCAATTTTTATGCCTTGACTAGTCTAATGTTCATATTGAGAAATAAATTTCAACTGTTTCTTCAAAATAAATTCATCACAAGAAAGCATATTTCTATCAAGTAGTAAATATATTATTACTGAACGTTTTGACACATAACATACCTAAAATGTCCTAGAATATAAAACATTGGTTGTTTATAGAACTCTCCCTTAGTTTTATTTACAATAATAGGACTGTCCACAAAATTTTTCACCCAGTTTGGTCCACCTTGAAGGTCAAGAGCAATGTTCCAGTCTGTCCAGCCAGTCACCCAATGATTCAAATCCTTCAGGAAAAAGAGAAAGAAGAAAAAAATGTTATAATGTAAAAAAGTCAAGAAAACATTTCTCACAAATGTGAAACTATCAAGTTAGTCCAATATGAATGAAGAGAAAAATGTTATTTCTATTTTCATGCCACTTTTCATGATGTGAAATCAGATATCAAATAAGCAATAATCAGAGATCACTCTGTCTTTGGATGGACTATGTCAAACTGCTAGACATACTCTTTGGTAAGATTTTTTGTAACTAATAAAGAGAAAGTAAGTCAAAAGGGCTTCATTTTGAACACAATCTCCTCCCTCTACTGTATTGTTATTGTTTGATAGCAAAGGGTAATTCTTTACCCTTGCAAGCCAACACATTATATAGCAATATTTTGTCTCTTAGTCACTATATATACAACATTATGTGTGTGTATGAAATTTCTTTCTTTCATCTGTGTTTGGGAAAGTTTTTTGTCTGATGTGTTGGTCCAAGGTACATAAAAAAGAGCACATATATTCTCTGTTTGCAAATTATAAACTTGTAACAAAATACTAATACAGGGAAACCTAGGTTTTCAAACAGAAAATTTGAGATGAAAATGCCTTGGTTCTCAAACAACATTGCCAAACCGAGCCAAACTGAGTTAACCTGAACAGAATCATTTCTTAGTCAACCGCCATGTTGTATACATTGGTGTGCTGTGCTGTGCTTTTCTTTTCCAATTTTATTGTATTATGCCTCTTTTTCTCTTTATTAGCCCTTAGTCATGGCTCCAAAGAAAGCTAGCAGTGATATTGGTAAAGGAAAAAGAAAAGTTAAGAAAAAAACAATTGTTGATGATATTGTCTCTTCCTAATTAGTTTCGTATGGCAAAATCAACAATCTATACTATTCTTAGAAATAAAGAGATGATCATGTCTTTCCTTCCCTTTTCCAAACACTAACATTTCTTTCCTTCCCCTTCCACACCACCCTCCTACTCTCCTACTTAAAGTTATGGTAAAATCAAAAAGTTTGTCTGTCTGTTTAGTATTGGGTTTATTTATTTTTTTCTTAGATTTAATGATTTTCATTGGTTTTGTGTATAAACTTGTGCACAAAGTACTGTTGTAAAAGTTTAAATAAGCAATCATCTTGGGACCAGGAATGGATTAATCCATTTTACATTGATTTCTATCGGAAAAATAGTTTCAGTTTACGAACACTTCGAGTTACAAACAGGCTTCATGAACAAATTAAATTTGTGAATTGAGGTTTTACTGTAAACCAATTAATTACCACTTTTGACCTAGTCTCTACTAACAATGTCTGGCAGATTTTATATATTTTTATATTACTTCAAACACCTTATATCTGAAATATATATGCCCCATTTTTATTCATTAAACAACATGTAGTATGTCTATCAAACTGGTGCATTTGAGAAATCCCAGTAAAAAAAAGTGTTTTGCAGTAGGGATTGAACATGCATCCCTCTTTGTAGGGGAAACCCCCATTTGATCCACATGCTTTAACACTTGGCCACAAAGAGTGTCACAGCAAGCAAAGCTCTATTTTCCCCTTTTAAAGAAAGCACATCCTCTTCACCCAGATATATTTTTATTTTTATATGTGAGAATATGATATATAAATTTCTATATATCAGAACAATTACAATTCTAACACTTTCGCCCCAGCCCCTCAACCTCCGATGTCTTACTCTCTGGGTTGAGGTGTCTACTTGGTCCTAACCAAACTTAAGGGAGTGGCCGTAGGTCCCCTGAGCATCCATAGATTATTTGATTGGTCCACTGGTTTAATCCTGCTTCCTGCCCATGTTGTGTTTGGTTTGATCCAGAAAGCAGAAGTGATGTTCATCGATTAATGGTCGACTGAAGATGTAGACATGGCTGGAGAGTCTGCGCTAACAAATTTAGAATGCAGCAAAAAAAAAAGATAATATCTGCAGAAAGCTGGACAAACAACTATTCAATCATTGAATTGTTAATGTCTTTTATATAGCAGAAAAGAATAGTATAGAAAAGAAACGGGTTACAGAAAAGAAAAGTAATTGACGTAAAAATGCATGCACTGGATTCTAGACAGAGAGAGAGTGTGTTATGATTAACTTGTTAAATCGTCTCAGAACGATATACGACCCTTGCGATGGGGGAATAAGATTTCGGTGCGCGGCTTAAAGTTTATAGTGGCGTTCCTCCTTAGTAGTAGTAACAGTAGTAGTAGTAGAAATGTTCGTGGTAGCAGAAGCAGTGGTACTTATATCAACAGTACATGTTAGTGGACGCTTCATTCCAATCTCTGACATTACTTTCTCTCCTTCTTGAGTCTCCAACTCGACTCTCCACTGTCTCTAGCCCAACTCTTGACCAGGCTAATTCTCTTCTGTCTCTCTCTTCCATCTGCTCGCCCATCTGTGTTTTTCAGCATAACTACGCGTTTATATAGATAAACCCGGCTGATTATAACTGACCCTCGGCCCTACTACTTCGTACGCGATTATCACGGGGTTCTGGCTGCTTCAACCAAAATCATGTGAATTCCAAAGTTCCTTCTAGCTTACTCAACTCTATTTCAATTTTTAATCGATAAAATTATTTCGACCATTCCCATTGTCATTCTGATGACCCAGATTCAATGGGTACAACTTCTGCTCTAGATCAAATTTCTTCATCAGTAAACAAAATGCTCTGATCTAATTTTGTTATTCAAATCTTCTCCAATTTCACTAAAAAAAATATGTGTGTGTGTGTGTGTGTGTATTATACAGATTTTTTTCTGCTTTGTCAGTCATTCATTTGCCTAACAATTTATATATAGCTAAAATAAAAAAGTTGCTTGTTAAACATTTTCAACTTTTACTTTTTATTTTGGCCTGTTGATAGACCATGGAAAAATATAATATTAAAAGATCTACAAGATGATAATGTTAATGATGCCACAACTAGCAGAGATAAGAAAAAACTTACAAAATTTCAGAAGAACAATTAAATGAATAATTATGAAGCTGCAATGACAAAAACAAAGCAACTGCTGTAAAAAAAAAAGAAGCATTTCCAGCTGTAAGCTTTTATTCTGAGACTCATTATTCTTTCACTGCAGTCATTTAGCTACTGGTTCAGCATTCTCTTTTTATATCAAAGGATGCTATGAATATTCTATGTACACTTTAGATAAAAGCAGTGCTTCATTCTTACTTGAGTTTTTATAATTGGAGTTGTCAAAGGATGTACAGCTAACTTGATCTCTCTTGTGAAGTTGATTGATAAGTCCTTTGTTTTCACTTGTTATGGTACAGTCATGCCTGCACAACAGTCTAACAGTTCTTTGCACAAGAAATGTCACACAGACTAATACACGAATTATATGTAAAGAAAGTGATGAGAAGGATGAGGTACAGTGTATTGATAAAATTACAATACATGTTGGATAAAGATTGATATGGCTGTGACTATGTATTTATGGTTTATTTGATTCCACAGTAGTGATTGAGACCATGGGTTTCAGTTATGACTCCTACATATCATTTTATTTGTTTCATGACTGATTATATTTTATTTGAGCAGGCTTTACAAAAGAAATTTGTTTCTGGTCAGATTACATTTAGAAATTCAATATTTAGTATGTTAATTATTAAATTATACTTTAGACCTTAATAAGGAAAAAATCTATAAGATTTAGTCTTAAAAATTTTCAAATGGAGACACCAGTTTAAATAAGTTAAGAGGCAGGTTGGTTAAAACGGTCAATGATGATTTTAAGATTATGATGTAAAATGATGTAAAAATGATGTAATTTGCAAACTTCCATTTGCTGTCATTCAACAGTGATGATATATCAAAACATAAGTAGTACATACTCTAAAAAACTTTGCTTCTAAAAGTGATATTGTTTATCCTATAAAACTAAAATGATAATTACAAACATGTCCTCAATGAAGCTATGTCTTTGTTTTCTGACAGAATGAAGTGCTTTATAACCCCTAACAAGTTTGGTTCTCATGATTACAGGTGGTTCTGTAACAACATATAAAATAAGGGTAAGCCTTCAATCCATACTCTCTTCACCCAATTTGATGTATTATCTTTTGCTGATAAGGCAGAATGCTTTACCTGTAAATTCTCTTTCAATTCTACTCTTGACACAGCTAGTGTATCTTTACCTGACTTTCCACTTAGAACTGAGTGTCTACTGTGTGATATGTTGCTTCTTACTTTCCAGCTTCTTAGAAATCCTTTTCTGTAGTTTCTGTCAAGAAATTGAGCAAACAATTTTATCCTTTGAACTATTGATCTATTAATCTTCTACATCTTTTTGGCAAAATTCTATATCTCACCTTTCAGGGCCTTCTCTCAGACAATTGCTTCTCTAGGTCAACTGTTAATGGTTATTGCTGAAAGGGACTGTCAGGCATTTGATAAGAATAGGTAAGCATGAGAGGTTGCTTTAGATATCTCAAAAGCATTTGCTGGTCTTCTTCACAAGTTGAAGGGTTATGGTGTTTCTGGCCAATTTTTGATTTGATTCAATTTTTTTTATCAAATAGTGAAATGAAAGTAGTCTTGAATGATCACTCTCTTTTAGATCTTTTTACATTAATACAGGTGTCTCTCAGAGATATTGCAATTTATTGGTTGGTCCTAATCTGGAATTTCCTCTTCAGTCACTTTCCCACCACTGTAACATGGCTTCCCAGTGCCTTTTTTTTTTATAAAAATCTTCATGGTAATTGTTCCGATGAGATTTTCCTCCTTGGTACATTTACATTTAAGTACAGTATATTGGCAGCTAGATCTCATCATTTTACTGTTGAAATTGCTATAAATGTAACTCTGCTGTTTCTTTTCTCATACTTGCTGGTGGAAGTATCTTTTGGCTTCTTGATTTCTTGTCAACTACAATCTTCAAAAATTTTAATGCAATTGCATCTTAGTGACTTGATCCCCTTGCTTTGGGTGAAACAGTTAAAAATAAAATTAAATAAACTTGCAAACAAAAACTTCTATTATTATTATTATTG